GCGCGCGGTGCCGTGCGTGGCTCATGGTGCCGCCGCTGCGCGGTGCCTACCGTGCGCGTGTTGCTGCCTCAACTGCTGCCGCGTGGTGTGGGTGCTCATAACAGTGCAACTAGAGTTGGGATGTTTATGTGGAGGACAGGGAGGAGGCAAAAATATTTTAGCAAGTTATTTTGGAGAGTTTAGGAAGCTACATGTTAATGCAAGGGGGAAATTGCATGGAACATTTATGGGGAGAGGGATCCAGATTGAGGAAAAAGGAGTCACATGAGGAAAATAAAAGATGAGGTTGCACCACCTGTTGGCCCAATAACAGCTTATGTGATGTAGGATGCACAGATGATTAATTCCAGGAATTCTTTGTTTTGGATCTTTTTTGGTAATACTTTAAAAACAATACATCAACAAAGTTATTCTTTGCCTATTACAGGATTGTGTCTACAACCATTCACATGAAACAATTACATAGGCTGAACTTAATGATCAAGACAACTTGAGACATGTTTTGGTTATATGAAGTGCATACATACTAGCTGCCCCACAAAAGCACCGACATATGCAACTCATTTGGTGGAGGGCAGTCAAGTCAGCTGAGCTGATCTATCCTTTCTTATCACTTGTACATGTTTTGTGTTTAGATTAAGATGTGAATGATATACTGCCTGTGTGGAAAAGATGCTGGATCTGAAATGTTCCTTTCTTTTTTTTTTTTTGTTTAGATACATTTTAGATTTAGTGATTGAGAAAACCTTGGTAGTTCATCATCATCTAACCCTTGTCCTAACTATATGAGGTTTCACCATTCTGTTCTGTTCAGTGCCTTGTACGTTGTTAAATTATGAATGATTGTGCACAAAAAGGCAATTCAGGATCCATGACCATAAGAGTGGCAAAATTCTTAATGCTGGCTGCCAACCTGACACAACCCTCCTCCTTTATCTGGGCTTGGGACTGGTGGTGTAAGAGAAGCTCACACAGGAAATCTTGGTAGTATATCCTATATTTATTTTTCTTTCTTTATATGGGTCCTAGTTTTTATTAATAAATAAGAGAAGGTATGATGCCAGATACACCCAATCAGCAACTAACTAGGTGGCTGAAACAGGCCTAAGCTAGCTGGAAATAGGCCATAGAGCCCTAGCCTTTTAGTTTGAGATATAGTTTTGGTTTGATAAAATAGGCTGAACAGAATTAAAGAGACCTAAGTAATCAATAAAACAAGTGAAAACATGATTGATAAGTGGGTGAAGATTATCTAAAATAGAGCTTATAGGTTTATTTAGTAAATAGTAAAAGTTTGTTAAAAGTGCAGAAAGTGGTCTAGGGGCTTGAAACAATGTGTAACACTTAAACATTCTTTCATATTTAATTAGTAAATCATTTCCTGTTACTGATAAAAAAGGGGGAACTGCAAAAATTTGGTAATAAAAACTAGCACAAGGAAAAAAGGGAAATGGCTGGATAGAAAGAAGAGAATTTAAGAAATGGAGAAGATGATTCAATAATGAAGAAGAAAGTAAGAACAAAAGCAAACCTGAAATAACAACACAGATTCATCGGACTAGTTACCAACAAACAATGAAATACCTGTAGTAAATTAAAGATAAGCCCTAATGTAGTCAGCGGCATTTGGTTCATTAGGAGTCGGCACCTAGAGATGCAGAAGTCAGAACCAAATCATAAAATTGTAGAGAAACACAATGGATCTTCTATGTTCCACAAAATATTTGGTTTTATACTTTACCTTCTCTCAACAAAATAGGTTTTCTAAAACATAGAAGGAACTAAAATTACTTGCAACTGAAAATCTGTTTAACATATCTTGAAGATTTAAAGTAAATTTTGATGATGCACCCATCATTATTCATCATATACCTAGAATTCAATTAAAGATTGTTTGGGATAATCAAATCCAAATCATGTAGGGCCCACTTGACTTAACTGTTAACTGATTGGGCTTTTTGGAACAGGCTGAACTTTTGGTCCTTGGGCAGTTCAATGATTTATTCAAATTTACTGCTGCAACATTTTAAGCCCGTGGAATTGGGTTGGGCTAGGTTCACATGGATTTGTGAAAATTCAATTGGCAATTGCTGGTCCACTGTGATTGCTAAATGAAGGCCCACAAAGAGAAGCATTAGCTTTCATTTCCCTCTTCATAGACTTTGGCCCCACATCACTTTGTTTTTTTTGCTTGTGTGTGGATGGGCCCCACATTACTTTCACAACTTGAAAAAACACTTCGAATTCTTATTCATTATATCTCTTAAGTGAAGTCTTTTATAAAGCTCTAGGTAGGCTAGGGAGCTTATGCTCAGGCTTTCCTTAACACACTCAATTACTTAATGATGAAGAAATTATGATCTTAACAACCTCTTTAAACCAACTAACAACCACAAATTTGATCAAATTTTACAAAAATTACAAAAAACAATGGAGTGCAATTTTATTATAAATAATAATTATGAGAGTTACCATAAGGCAAAAGTTACTATAAATCATGGTTTTCGAACTGCCGTTACTTGGACAGTCAGATCGTTTGGCCCAGGAACTATCCAGGCAACTGGTTCCATTTTACCCCAAGCCCGGTCCCTAGCCAAAAACCATTGAATGGTCAACGACCCGTTGATCTGGGCAGTCGAATCGTCGACCCGTCCGACCTGTTCAATGGTTTTGGCTGTTTTTTTTTTATTTTAATTATTTTTTATTATTTTTAATTTTTGTTGTCAGAACGGGCTGTCTGTTCGAACCGGACAGTTGAACTGTCAACCCGGAAATCAGTGGCTAGAACGGTTCCGGTTCCGGATCGTTTTTTAAAACATTGCTATAGATTGTAAATTTAATTTTTACCAAGGATGTGGCTGCGGACAGAGGAAGCTGGGATGTGGGGGTACAATACTGAGAAGAATAAATCTTGATGGATTACCAGGAATATGGATATGAGGCTACATTGGGTGAAAAGAACTGCAAATTCTATGGCTGATGCACTAGCCAAACAAGGGGTGGGAAGAAATCAATTGTTCTGGGCACAGCTGTAATTATCATTGTACTTGGAGGGGAGAGATAAGAGAGCTTATCTGTCACAAACAAATCACCTCCATGGTCTTTCTTCAACTAAAATGCCCACATGACATGCATTCACTCAAAACTGTTCCAACCAAAACTTGAAGATGAGCTTGTGATGGCTGATAATTTGGTTGACCATGACTTTATTTGGACAGCTGCAAGTGTTAATCAGCTCAGATTAAGGCCAAGTTTGAGAGTGCTTAAAAATAAGTGCTTGTTCGAATAAGCACTTATTTTGGGCCAGTACCACACCAATAAGCACTTATTTGCGCTTGGGAAATAAGCCTGACCACTAGAATAAGCACTTATTTGAGAAGCCCAAATTTTTGGGCTTATTTTTAAGTGCTCATTTCCTTTCTGGCCCGCCACATCATTTTGAAAATACCTATACTACCCCTGTTTAAAATAAGCACTCCCAAACATAGCCTAAGATGGCATGAACATATTAGTAGTGAATGGGTGAGCTCCCCTAAATTTGCATCAATGCTTATTCATTTATTTATTTTTGATCAGTAACAGAAGAAATTATATATATATATATATATAGCCAACCCCATATAGTTGGGACAAGGCATGGATGATGATGATGAACAGAAGAAATTATATAAATTAGACTGTTTGTGAAGGTACAAATTTTCAGTTCCCATTAAGCCATAGCCCTTCACATTTTAGTCTTACAAACTAGCTCAAAACAAATGATCCCTAGAAACCCCCTGTTTAGAAAGTGTATTGACCAATTCATTTGCTGATCTGCTAATCCATCTGAAAGAAGCCTCTACATCTCTTGCCAGTGCCTTGGTTTCCCTCAGAACCTGCCTGAATTTCCAAATCCCTTGACTGTTACATAAATACTGCTAGTTGTGTCCTTGCTCCTTGGATATATCAAAATGCTTTTAAAGACCTGCCTTGTACTCAATTGTGGTAGATGGTGTACATGCCTTATTTTATTTTAGTTCTGAAGTTCTCTTTTGTTAATGTGCTTCTCTGACAATGCTATTCCTTTTTAAATATCATTTGCAGTTCTTACCTCCTAAATTTGTCCGCGAATTAGCATCCCTGGTTGGCAAGAAAACTTGCCTTGAAGACTCAAATGGAGAACGTTGGAAGGTAAATGTATCAACTGTTGATGGTTCATTAGCTTTTCAGCAAGGATGGGATAAATTTGCATCAGACCATTCTCTGCAAGAGGGATATTTTTTGGTGTTCAGTTACATTATTGGCTCACATTTTGTAGTTAAGATATTTGATAAAAGTACATGTGAAAAGTTAAGTTTCTCTGAGAGAACAAATGTGACTACAAATGGAACTACTGGAAAAAGAAAAAGAGCCAAGTCGAAACACCCCTCTGATGGTTTTCCTACAGAAGCCAGAAAATCTGCCCCTACAAATGGCCCATGCAAAATAATTGACCGGGTTTCAATTAATGAGCAGGGGTCAAGTTCTACAGTTATTTCATCTGATATTGAAATAATTGAATGTGATGCTAAAGACATGGAGAAAGTACCAGTGGCCAATGGCAATAAAAGGCCCCAAGATCTTCCAAAAGTAGACTGTGCAGAAGTACCATACTACATGATTGATAGAAATTCAATAACTGAACAAGGAGAAAGCTTCTCTCTTTTTGACCTCTCTAAATTTGAAATGTTAGGGAGTACATCTGATTGTAAGAAAAGTAACAAAATTTCAGTGAATGTTGAGAAAGAAAAATGTCCCTATGGTGATGAGAGATCAGAAATTCCTCCGGCTCCATTGGAGCAAGGTAGAGTGGACAAAAATCCAGTGGCTGATGAAAGCTCAGAAAGACCTCAAACCTTATTGGAGGAAGGCAGATTTCATAATGATCCAGTTGCTGATACAAACAGAGCGGCTCCTTTTGACGGATCTGGTTTCAAAATGTCTGAGGAAAAATGGAATGCTGAAGATATGCCCAGGGTACCACAGATTACAGAATCCTGTTACCAGAATAGCCCTACGCTGCCTCAGACCACGTGCTTAGTGGACCTTGTGGAAAATGAGAGGGGGAATGAGATTTTGAATAGAGCCATCAGTGAGTATTTTCTTTCTGATGAAGGGAACTGTATTTATCATATTTCAAAATCTAAATGTTTCTTATGGTATATAGAAAGCATCTTTTGCTTCTGTAGTTCCATTATCATCACTATATTCTGTATTTGTTCTCTGAACTGATCATCATGTAGTGTTTCATTAGACCAAGGAGCAGGGAAATGCCCAGAGAGAAAATCTCAAGAGGAACATACTCCCTTTGTTGGAATCAGTAGAAGTATTTGTCCGATTACTTGGACTTCTGATCATTCAGTTACTGTAGCAGGTAGAAAGACATTAAGTTGGTTCTTTCTTTTGGTTCCATTTTCTTTTCTGTGCTTCTTAGTAGAGATACTCACAGTTACCTCTTGGTTTTCTTTTTCTGTGCTTCTTAGCGAAGCTGCTGTCTGTCTTGATGTTATTTTATTGTGTGTTTTGTGGTGGTGGTGGTGGTGGGGGGGGGGGATGAATTAAAAATCACTTCACGTATATAATTAAAGAATCTACTCATTTTCAGGGAAGAAGCTGCCAAGGGTGGTTAAAGAAGAGCATGTGGAAATAACTAAAGAAGTTCATGGTTTGTTGTCTTCCTTTTTTTCTAGTTCTATGTCCTTCTATCAAACCTCCTTCCATGTTTTATTATTTTGTATAAATTTCTTGACATTATCTAATTCACATGACCCTGTCTTCTATGTTGAAAACTTTCTACATTCAGCGGCAAAGGAGCCCAAAGTTATTAAAGAGGAATTTGAAGAGAATGCTTATTCCACTTTAAAAGATCAAGTGAAAGTTTGCAAGATGGTGAAAACAGAAATTGTGGATTCAATTGATCTCCCATCACCCAACCTGGGTGATTTCTGCATTCCAGTGTCAACAGTTACACAATCTTGGCTTGTATGACCCTGTCTTTTTTTTTTTCCGTGTAAGTTAATTATTTCATATCAGTGAATGGGCTATGCTGCTAAATACATGTTTTCCATAAAGTTAAAAAAAAAATCAAATGTATGATTTATGAAGCATTTTTGTTTGGTTTTGCATATCATGAATTTTTAATGTTTTTTTTTGATAAATAATCATGATTTTAAATGTTGTATAGTGATAATCTGGTCATCTTTTAGTTTATCTATTATTTGGTATAGGAAAAGTCTTGTAACTGTGAATGTTATTATGTTACCTTAGGCTCAGGTAAATGCTATTACATCCTGTTACCTTGCTCTCTTTATCTATTCTTATTAATTACTTTTTATTCTCTGTTTTTTGTACATATTCTATTCTGTCCAGCTTATAATATTGCTATTTTGGATCCATTTTGGTCTGCTAACCTTTTTCCTACTTCAAGCCCCTAATTTTCTTCTCTCTATGCTTATTACTTAAGACTTTTTTTTTGATAAATTACTTAAGACCAAATCTTCCTGCATGTTTTACATATTTCTCTGTCCTTATCCAGACCCTTAATATATCCTTTTTCCTGTTAAACCATCCTTCTAAACCTACTAGGTCCAACTTTCATCTCGCTATCATCCCTTAACATCACTAGATTTTGTCTCACATTTTAGGGATCCCACACTAATTTTTCTAGCACAGCCCATGTTGCTAATGTAGTTGCTATCCTGCCTCAACTAGCAGCATTTTGTTTCATTCCTTCCCTTTAAAACCTTGAATTCCTTTTGCACCATCTTTTTCTTTTCATAATTGTGATGGAGGCTCTTGGTAGGATTACCCAGTTCTGTTATGAGAATGAGTTATCTTGGGAGGTTCATGGTATGGGTTGAAGAGGTCAACTTTATTACAGTTTGTGAGACATCCTGCTTTCTTTTGCAAGTATTCCTTGAATAAAGATCTCTCTCTCTCTCTCCTCCTCCTCCTCCTCCTCCTCCTCCTCCCCCCCCTCCACCACCACCACCAAAGATGCACTCTGAAATACACTTGTGAATTGGGGGCAGGCGCATAGCATTGATTGAAGGTATCCTCAGAATTGTAGTGGTATATTGTTTTTTCTTTGTTTTTATGGGTTCTTTTTTTTATTGTCAACAGATCAGAAACAGTTTGATTGAAAAATAAGATGAGAAAAGAAATTACAGCAGAATACAATGTTATCTTTTTGTGGATCAATAACTAGATCGAGAAGATTTTATTAGAACCTGAGATAAAAACAGTGCAAAAGAGAAACTCCCAGACCAGGAGAGCTGAGAGCCTAAGTCAAGAAGACTTTCTCACCCCCGGCAACAAAGCCCCAATGGGTTAAACACAGAATGGATTTTTCCCAATACAAGTATACAAATCTCCATGTTTAATTCCTTCACTAGCTAAAAAGTCTGCTAAGGATTTGGCTGACGTTTGGACCCATCTGAATGAGTTATGATTAGTCTAGGGTTTAGAAGAGCAACAGGCATGAGAGAGGAAGAAGAAAGAGAGAGAGAGAGAAAAGAATAGAGGTCCAGACCTCACATGGTTTCTTTTATCAAGTGGATGAATAGGATAACATGTAGAATTATAACACTGCCCTTATGTGATTAAGTACAGGCGGATCTATGATAATAAGATAAAATCTCAAGTATCTCAAGAATAAGGTGCCCACTAGAGGCTAACGATCTCGCCTCCTTGTTAACATGGGGAAAAACTAAGGCTGCGCTCATGCTCTAGCCTGGTTAGGTCCAATGTGAACTGAAAATCAACTGAGACCATTAACATGTAACCCTCATGTTCTCTAAAGGCACTCCAACTCCTGAAGGTCCTGGTCCTGGTGGAGTAGATATAAAAATTAAGCTTAACTGGGAGGGGGAGAGGTTGATTAATGCTGAAGTGCAACACTCTTAGGGGTACAACTCAGGCTGGTTGGCTCCAGTTGAAGTCAATCCTAACCAACTCAATGTGTACAAGCCTCAGCACTAACTCAACCAGATCCTCAACCCTAACCCAATACAATCATGAGATTGGCTTGGTCAGGTTGGGTTTCAGTTGGAACCTTACCTACCAAATCTGCAAGATGAGATGTTGATCCAAAAAAAAAAAAATCTGCAAGATGAGATTGGTTAGAGCTCCAATATTTAAATTGAACCTCTAGAAGAATCCCCTAAACAAACCCAAAGGATTCTATTTCTTATTCCATTCTGCTTCAAAAGAGAAAAGACAACAAATATATAGGTAGCAGGGTGCCTTGAGTTACTGTTCACTCATGGGGTTGGCTACATGAATCCTGTTTTGCCATTCCGTTAGGTTGAATGGCATATCAATTGTTAAATTATGGGCACTTGAATCATTTCTTACTACTTCAACACATGTCTCTTTGGTCTACCCCTAGCCCTTCTAGCCCCTTCAACTTGCAATGGATAACTTCTTCTTACAGGTGCTGTTAACGGTCTTCTATGCACATGATCAAATCACCAAACCATCCTAGTTTACTTTTTCTCATTTTATCACATATTGGAGCAATGGAGCTACTCCTCGGTTCCTCCAAATGACTTCATTTATGATCCCATCCTTTCTAGTTTTTCCACATCCATTTCAACATACACATTTTTGCCACTCATTTTTGGGCATGTTGTCTGTTGACTGCTCAAGACTCTGCTCCATACAGCGTAGCTGGCCTTACAACTGTTTTATAGAACTTTCCTTTTAATCTAAATGGTATTCACTTATCACATAAAACTCTGGATGCATCCCTCCGTTTTTCCCATGCTGTTCTAATTCTATGGGCAAAATATTCCTCAATAGTAAGTATATCTTGATTTGCAGTCCTATTAAATTTACATATCATACATTCTGGTTTAGTCAATTCATCTATGATTAGTATAAATTGAATTACATCACTATAATTACTAAATTTCCAATGCACACCCAGTTAAGAGAAAAATCACTATTATTTCTGACATATTAACCTGGTCAGTTTGAAACTTTAAACAAACTCTAACAATGACCTAATTAACAGCTTATAATAGTTGGATTCAATGTTTAAACTGTAAAATGACCAAATTAACCAAATGCCCCAAAATTTAGAAAAAAAACAAGAAAAATATAAAATTCCTAGAATCAACTTTAAGACTATTTTGATGCCCACATCAGGATGCCATTAGTGAAAAATCTTGGAAGTGGAGTGGGCATATCTTGTCTTCTCTAGGTTTCTGTTACTTGGTCATGTTGTAACAGTTGCTGTTATACCAATCCATCAGGTTGTCATTACTTTTGCAATGGTTGTACAGGAATTGCCAAGAGAAACACAGCCACTTGCCTACAGAGTGAGGTCAAGAACAGAAAGGAAGATTATATTTCTTCAAGATTCAGCCATGAGAGTGTGGCCTGTCCTTTACCATGAAAGACCTGGATTTAAAGTGTTGGCAAGTGGATGGGAAGCTTTTGCCGAGGCAAACAACATTCAACAAGGAGATGTCTGCGTTTTTGGTCTTAAAAATGAATCAGAAGGTTTGTATCAAGTACGCGTTGCTAAAAAGTAAGACCAAACTGCAATGACAGGAAGGCTTGTCTTGTCAAATATGTATAAATACAGACAAATTTTTAATATCACAGATTTCTTAAAAGATTGATCAGTTATACTGCAAGGTTTTCCTGGAAACACAGGTTTTGTATCTGACTAGAAAATATATGGCTTGGGCTTTTGAAGTCTAATTAGTAAATTGCTTTCCAAGTACAGATTTATTTATTTTTTAAGTTCCACTGGTATTTGTAGAACGTGGACTAACTATGGGGGTGTTTGAAGGCTAAATCTCTCCTTAACACTTTAAGTCTTAGGCTGCATTTGGCATCCTTATTTTAAGGACTTATCTCCTTTTTACAATTAAAAACTCAGTGTTCACAGGGACATTTTAACAGCAAAAAGGAGATGAGTCCTTAAAATAAGGAATGCCAAATGCAGCTTTAGCAGACTGCCATTTGCTGGGTCAGAAATGAACAGTTGAGTTATCTGCAACCATAGGGTGACATTCTTTGGTTGGTAAAGTAGTCCTGGCTGGATATGGGTATAAAAGTGGGGGTTGATGGTTGGGATATTTGTTTCAAAATATTACGTACTTCACTTGGTTGATGTTTCGCTTTCTTATTCATTCCTTTACATACCTTACAGTATTAGGTCTGGGCCGGAGGACCTGTACTGAAGTCTAGATATATCTTGCTAGAGAGGAAAAACCTACTTTATGCTTAAGTTGTGAGACTGTGTTTGGCATAGCTTATCCTTGTTCATTAACTTGTATAAGAGTAGGAGGTTTTGCAAGTTGAGTTAGATGGGTAATAGGCGGGGGTTGTGGTGGTTAAAATCGGTTCCTGAAACCAGTAAATGGATACTTTCTCAGTAATAAATAAATGCTTTTATTTCTGTCTGATGTGGGCTTCTATTAGGTATCGTACATGAGACTGGATCTGCTCCTCACAGAGCGCCTTACATGCACATCCTACCATACATTGAGAACATCTTCCGTATTTTTCAGTTATTATTCACGGGAGATGTTCTCAATGCATCGTGAATGTGCATGTGAGGCGCCCAAGTGTGAGGAGCAGATCCGATCTCACGATGAGGAGAAGAGCGCCTCACACGCACACGATACATACACTAAAATTTCATGCGAACCCTCCTACAAGTGCTGCTTTAAAGTTGTTTCTCTGAATCGCTTCTTTACCTATTACAACAAAAAGTGCAATCCATATTTATTTGTTTTTGTTTTTGTTTTTTCACTTTTATGTGTCGGTCTATTCCAATAATAGATACTGCCTTATGATATTAATTAACCTTCCAAGTTCCAACATATATACTTCCCTTAATTGCCACTGATACATATCATATACTTTAAATCATGATCTAAAGTATATTAAAAAAAAAGAAAGAAAAACTAATGCCCACTAAATCATGATCTCTGTAACTACTATGCATTTTAAGGAGTATAATATCAAACATTCAAAGTAAATAGTGTTATTTGAAACCAGAAGTTTTAAGAATGCATTTTTGGCAAGCATTAAAGCATTGACACGAAACTATTGGTATTGGTGCCATCAGATACACATTGATGCCCGCCCGACTTTGGGTACCAGATTTATCAATATTTTGATCCTTGATTTCTAGTTTCATTTGAAAAAAAAAGGAAAAGAACATATGCTTTTGTAAGAAAGTTATGCTTTTTTTTTTTTTTATGGGTTCGACTATGATATAAAAAAGATTAAAGATATAATATCTGAAAAACAACTGATCAATAAACTAGAATCATAACATGATAGAGAATTAGATGTTATTTATCAAAATTCATAGGTGGGTTTTGATTGGTCAAAACTCTTCTCATATCATATCTTTCCCACATCATAGATTTTCTCTTTTATAGCCCAAACAATTTATTTGAATACCCCTTATGAAATGGGCTTTTCAAACACTACTAGACCTACCAAGATTATGCGCCATTTGGGAGGACTTCTGCGTTTGGGGTGTGTTATGTTAATCAAGCTGCGGTGGTTGAGCACCAGTATTCCAGAGAAGCTACTCAGAGTTTCATATTTGAGCAGTGGCTGTATGAGGCTCGGCTTGCGAGTAAAATCAATCATATTTGAGCACTACATATGATTGATTTTATCAGGGGTGTGGTTCAAGGGTTGCATCGTTGTAACATGTAAAATACTACCATTTGATATGATGATGTAACCATGTAAGTCTTAGACACACACAGACACATACATAAATCAATCTTACTCGCAAGATTATATTTTAGTGAGATTGCTTGAGAGTTGAGGGACTGATCTGGTATGAGAGAAGTCACAACGAAGTATCTGGCTTCAGACTCCACTTCACAACACAAGGAGTCCTATACCCCATGATCTTTCCATCCAAATTAGTCAGTCTACGCTACGGGCTACGGCCCACAGGGCTAAAGTTGACTATACATTTATAATTATTTATAAATAAAATGAGTCATGACTTTACTCCAATTCCATAGCTCAAGTGACTTGCTCCACACGGACATGAACCAAGAGAAAGAAAAGAAAAACAGAACCTTGCTACCCAAGCTTTCCAACTTAATTTCATTTCAGGAGCTAAAAAACCAGGCAGAGCTATAAAGGGAGGGTGAGAGAAAGGAGGCAAAATCTCAGAATTCTGTAATCCATTAGCCTCCAAGACAAAGGTGGGAAGATGAAGAGGGAGGGTCGACAACATGGGATGGTTAGGAGCTACGCCATCTTGCCATCGCCATGGAACCCAAGACCCAATTCCAGAATTGTCAACAAACTCGGTTCACCTCCGACCGCCGGAATTTACACCAGAGTGTCGTCGAAGCCGACCAATCACTCGAAATTCACAGGAAAATGTGGTCGACCCAAGTGTGAGGAGTGTCATATCCACCCTGCTGGCAAGTCGAAGGACAAGGCTAAGGGGACCCAGAAGCTCAGGTCGTCCGACGTGGTGACGAATCATCGATTGGTTGCTTGGAGAGTCGTGGATAAAGGCCAAGGATTGAATTATGCCGGGCTATCTGCAACGGCAATTCTCAGTCATTTGTCCAGCTGCAATGACCTCTGGGACGATGAAGACGAAGAGTACTATGCCGACGACGCTTATAACGATTCTCATGGGTTAGGGGATAGTGATCCGGTCGAAGCAGTTGAGTCGGGAGAAACTGATGAAGTTGTTGATGATGACGACGATGATTGTATGAGTTTTTGTGATGTCGGATTTGTGTTGGAACAGATTGATGGTGATGAAGGTTGGTGCTTAGTGGCCGAGATGTGAATGTTTGACTGAATCCTTGAATTGTCAATTTCAGTAATAATTGAATAGAGAGGGAGGGGATCTGATTATTTGTTTGATCTCAATCTCTCAATCTCTATGTGTGTATGTGTTTCTTGTTCATTGTTGCAAGTTTCTTCTTCCTGGTATCTCGTTTATTGAAAGACGAAGCGTGATCACCCAGCAAGAAATGCGTCAGCTTTTGTGTTTCCTGTGTACGGAATGATGGAAATACGTGGTCAGAATTACATCATTAGTGAAATATTAATGTCCACTAATCAGTAGTTACGATAGATTGGGTTTCTTCTCTTGCTTCATTATTAGACTATTGGTCGAGTACTTGATTGAGTATCACATACATTTGCACGAGAAAGAGGATTAGAGGATAGAGAAATGGAGTGGGTTTGTGGATTTCACGTTTCAGTTAGGTCAAAGGTTGGGTTGGCATTAGGCTGGGCTCATCCTATTCAAGGACTGAAGCATGGGCTAGCCCCAAAATAAAAAGCCCAAGGATTTGGGCTCAAGTCCAATTTATGTAAAATTTTGGGTTGGATTGATTTGGGCTTGGTTAATTGTCTCGCCTAACTAACACCCCTACTCAGGTAATATGGGGGCATTCCCTTGTCTTAACCCAATTCTAAACTCTTTTGTGGCCTTTTTGTTCAAGTGGTGTCCATGGCCATGGGTCGAGTTAACTAGTAAACCTACCATGATTTGTCCCTTATTGGGTCGATTTAGGTTGAGATTACACTGTAATACCTGAAACGTTTGTTAGTTATACCTAAAACATCAAATTTGATGTATCAACTATAAATGTCAATTATCATACTCAAACCTACAATTTTCTAGTTGAAAAACTCTCATATGTGATGTGACATATGTTTCTCAATTTTTAAATATGGTGGATGGATGGTAAGTTTCTTAGTTTTTAAAATAAATGATTAGGGTTTAAGCCTTTTAACTTAATTTTTCTTTAAAATACGTGCATAATAATGTAATATATATGGTAAATAATCATTAATTAGCATAAATAAAGAGGTGAAATTTTGATAATTAAGTAATTTGTGAAAATAAGAGGTCTTGAGTTCAAATCTTCTAACAACATTTTAAAATTTCACTTAGGCTGAGTTTGGAAACGATGCAAATGGAGTGTAAATCCCGGTTCAGGATAAATTTGCACTCCTGTTCACTTTTGCCTGTGTTTGGCAACATTACATTTATGCATTGACAAATGTCAAAGAACACATTTTTCAATGCATATTTACATTGATAATAAGATGTAAAATTACATCAATAAAAAAGAAGTAAATTTGCATTCAAGTGGGCTTTTGATAAAAAAGGCATATGCTTTATTTGAATTCGTATTTGCACCCATTACAGCTAAAAGTCTGGTAGGAAGGTAAATTTGTTAGTGCAAAACTAACCCAACTTTACAATTTATATGGACTGTTTTACACTCTACATATTTGCATTCACACTTATTTGCATCGTTTTCAAACACAGACTTATGTATGAACCCAAACGGTTTCATAAAATTGTGACCGGTTCACTGTTTTTTCAGTTCAACTGGCCGATTAACCAATTTTCAGCAAGTTTTGAGAAAGTCCGGTTATTAGGATGACTGAACCAGTCAGAACCCTGGGTCATGGCTCAACCGGTTCAATTGGCCTATTCGACCCGACAGTCTAAACACTGATTTACAGGCAAATACTCCATTTTATGTAGGCCAACAGTTACTAGACCAAATTTACACTAATTCCAGTCCAGAGAAACAATTATTACTAATTCCAAAGAGAACAATGAATTATCTTATTGTATAAACTAAAATCCAAGCAGAACATTGGACAATTCGTCAATTTCATATTCACAAAATGCCAACATTAGCCAAAAATGAATGCAGTTACGAATCAATTTCAAATTCGTAAAAACTGCTATTCTTTCCATCAAAAGTTCAAAACAATTGAAACCCCTTAGAAGCGAAGGCTCTAACAAACCAACTCAAAAGCGAAAACATCATATAGGAAAGTCGAATTACGTAGTTGATGAAACACAATCAGAAGCATTGCAGTAATGTGTACATGGGACCGTACTGTCCATAGCTTGGCATGATGGCACATGGGGTGTGTCAGGTATGACACGATTGTGTGGGCTATGCTGGGCTAGGGGTTTCGGGTCAGTTGGCTGGCATGGCCAGTAGACTTACAATGGGTTGAGTGTAGCCCGTTTGAGAAAACTAGCCCGACCCCTCAAACGATTAGTTTCAGCTTTTTTAGGGGGTTTTACATAAATACCCCTCAATCAATAGCTATAAGCTTATTAATAGCTATATAGGGGGAGTATTTATATATTTTGGCTTTTGGAGGAAGAAAAGACAATAATACCCCTCCAATAGCTATATGCCTATTTCATATATAACAACTTGTTCTTTTGAGAATTTGAAGGCATTTGGGTAAAGTGATAAATGACTTTATAATGACCAAAATACCCTTCTTAACAACTAAAAAATGATTAGTTTTTAGGGTATTTTGGGCAATTGAATTATTTTCAATTCTTATAAATAACCCTATCCTCCACCAGTCCACCATTCTCATCACACCAATTCAGCAATTCTCATACTCTCTTAGTTTCTCATCTCATACCAGCATATTGTCATACAGACATATATACTTAGGCACTTAGCAATTTAGGAGGCTTTGAGGCTTCAATTGTTGAAATCAAGTTGAGATAAAACCGGTAATCTGAACATCCGGGTAAGTGTAATTAAATTAAGTTTTATTTTTTTTTAAATTTAAAAAATGGCTGGCTCCTCCTCCCGAATCCAATTCCCCAATAGTAAGTTTGCTAGCTCGATTCAGAAAATATTTAAAATAGAGGATTTTGAGGGGAAGGGAAAAAGAGTTATTTGCCAAAAATGTAGGATTGACTTTAGCTTTAGTGGCAAGGGTGGTACTAGCCACTTGGGCAGACATATGCTCTTCTATGAGAAACAAGAAAAAATACATATACTTTAAATATTTCTTGGATGGTGAGAATAAATTACAAGACAAAGGAGGGCATGACACTATTACACTTGATTAAGTAGATGATTAAAGTCAAGGAGTGGGAGTAATTTTTTCAATTTCATTTAAATTATTTGTTATTTTTTCAACAATGTAACTTTTTTATTTTCAATAAGTAATTTTTTATATTTTAAATGAAATAAAGTTCCTATTTTTTTTTTCAATTTGTTGTCCATTTTGATTTTGGTAAGTTTTTTTTTCATTTCTTTGTTAAATTTTTTATTTTTTCAATTTATTCCCAAAGTCCAAACGAAATTTAAGTATTTTAGTTTTACTTAGTGAAAGAAATTAGTCTAGGCCTTTTTGACCCAGTTTGGCCCAGGCCAAGGCTTAGCCTGTAGCCCAACCCAGCATGGCTCAGGCCCATAGCACAGCCTGCAGCCCACTTGGCCAGGCTCGTGGCCCGACCCGGCATGGACCCACATGGACTTGAGCCATGGGCCATGCCGGGCCGACCCCCAACTTATCCTAAGAGAGAGAAACACGGCCTGACTCGGTCCGCATATCGTACACTTCAACATTCGAGGACGACAGATAAAGGAAAAACAAAGTGCGAAAAGAATATATAATGATTTTATGATACCATGAACTCCACACATCCCTGATCAAAGCGTAACTTGCAATAAAATTGAAAACCCCTAAAACGAAATAATTAAGCAGTCTAATGCTGGAATTACTTAACTGATAAAAATGGGAAATAAAAAATAGAAAACCAAAATAACAAAGATAATGAGTTCAAAGTTTACGGGATTTTACAGTATTGAACTCTAGATTAAATATGAATCTGAAATTAGGAAAATGTTTGGATAGAACATAGAAGGTCAAGGTTTGTAAGAAGGCAGGAAACAGATACCTAGAATACTGGGTGTATCTAAGAAAGATACCTAGAAGAGATAACAAAATAAAGGATTTCCATTAAGATGGCTTAGCTATACGTGTGTGTAAGTTCATTCTAAATTGTACTTTTTCGAATCTCTTTACTTTGGTTATCTAACAAATATATTTTTTGTTTGATGGTGTCATTTAATTTGGAGGAAATTCTCAAATCTGTTTGCTTTCCAGCATAGTAATAAGTTAACTTAAGGATGCTCATAATAATGTAGAGCATATTTCAGGATCGATGTTGCTTAGTGATGCCGTATATCAAAGTTCAGTTTTGAAGCAGCAAAATCATTAATTAATGATTTATTTATTTGGTAATGAAGCAACTTTTGTCACTCAAAGACAAAGACAAAGAGGTTTTTAATTTACGCTCCATCTGCTTCTGTGCTTTTGCTTATAATAACAGTGTCTCCTTTTCAGTTCTGTGTCTTGGGTTTCAGTTCCAACAGGAGGCATTCGATACTCCTGATGCCTGGGAGAAAATATGAGATGAAATTCTATGGGTTGGGGTCTTCATCTATTAATTGATCTGGTTGAAATTCTATGGGTTGCGGTACGAATCTATTAATTGATCTGGTTGAATTGATACGTTGGTAGGTCATTTGTATGGATGTGGTAAATGACAGTACTGCCCATTCTGCAATTACAAAGGTGTTTAAGTCAATAAGTTACCACCCAGGATGCATCATTTGTTGATAAGATAAGCAATTGAATGGACTCACGGGGTGGTCCTCTATGTCCACACACGTATGTCTGGTGATTCCCTTTCCCCCATTTCCCCGATCCGGGGATTTGGGGCATTGGGATGGGAAATTTTCATCCCATTGGATTTCCACTAATATATATATGTGTGGACGTATAAATTTATATATAGATAGATACGTACATACACACATGCATCTATATATTAATATTTTTAAAAATATAATTGAATATATTTGAATATTTTTTCATATAATTATAATTCTTAGTTATTTTATTTTTATTTTTTTAAAATAAATAAAAAATAAAAACAAAATGATTAATATTATAAAAATCACAAAAGAGTGGAAATCCCCGAAGATAGGCTCCCATTCCCCACCCACGCCATTCCTAGTTAGGACTGATGAGAGGAAATAAATGTACCGAATTTTTCACATTGGTGGACGTACTGGACGTGAAGACGAAGCATATGGGCATTATATATATTTTAAAGACTAAAGATACATAGAAATAGTTACAAACTTGAAGTTGAAGGCTTGAAGCTACCGATGGAAAATTAAAAGTTGAGTTACAACAAGTCAGCCGATGAATCAGCAGTAGCAGTTGCATTGACTTGATTTCTAATTCCACCTACAACCTTCCTCATGTTCATCAACCATGTTAAAGAGCTCAAAATAAGATCATATAGGCTAAGAGCCACGTAAAGCCCAACCCCACCGATAACCCCATTGGATATAGAATAGGTGAATGGCATGAGCATCATGGTAACAAATGCAGGAGCACCTTCCTTAACCTTCACCCACTCTATGTCTTTGGCCACCCTCATCATCATCACTCCAACCATGATCAGAGAAGGCCCTATGGCCCATGGTGGAACACTTGCCAAAAGAGGCGTGAAGAACAACGACAAGAAGAAGTAGAACCCCACAACCAGAGCTGTTAATCCTGTCCGACCTCCTTCTCTGATCCCTGCCGATGACTCTATGTATGTCGCAATGGGGGATACTCCCAGCGCCGAACCCACAACCGTAGACCCTGCATCAACCATGTATGCCAAGTACTCTCCTTCAAAACTCCCATTCTCATCTATAAATTCCCCAACTTCAGCCACCGAGTACAATGTCCCCGTCGTGGCCAACACATCCACGTAGAGCAACGTAACCAAGGCTACCCAGACCTCACTTCTGTTGAACCCTCTGAAACTTACAGCCCCAGCAGTGCTCTTGATTTTATGGAACTCCACCACCTGCTTGAAATATTTGTAGTTGGTGTCGCCGAGAGTGGTATTAGGAAAATACGTTACGCTGGTGCCCCTAATCCATGAAACCAACGTCACAAACAGGATGCCATAGATCATGCTGCCCCTGATTTCCTTCATCAGCCCGTAGCACGTTACTAGGAAGCCCACAGCGCCGAGCCAGAACGTGGGGCTTTGCATCTTTCCGTTCTCGCACTCGCCTGTGACTGGGTTCGTGCGGGAGCAAGCCGCGAGGGTCACCAAGGTGGAAGAACTCGGTCCCACAAGGCCAACGCCTTGTTGAGACTGCAGGCCGACGAATGCAATGAAAAGGCCGATGCCCGCCGCACAGGCAAGCCGGACTGGCCGAGGGATGAGACGCGCAAGCCTTGCGCGCAAACCAAATGCAGCTATCGCAAGAAAAACACAGCCCTCCACCAACACTATCGCCAGCGCCGTTTGGTATGAGATGGAACCTGATCCATGATACCCCACCAAGTCGTATGCAAAATAGGCATTAACCCCCATACCTGGAGCCAAGGCGAAGGGTAAGTTGGCTAACAGCCCCATAGCGAAGCAAGCAATCATGGAAGACACAGCGGTGGCCACTATGAGGTCGCTTTTGGTTTTTGACAGGCAGTTGTCATAACCCACATTTGCTTTGAGCTTGCAGTCCGGCCCTAGCTTGTGCTGTGTTGTCGATGTCGATGCATTTGCGTTTGCGAGATGTATGTCAATGGTGCAATCAGAGACGGAGCACGTCCCGCCGGAGTCTCCAAGTATGGTGGCATTAACAGTGATGATGTAGGCCATCGTGAGGAAGGTAGCAGTCCCTGCACGCACTTCCTTTGTAAAGCAGCTCTTCCTAGCCTCCAGCTTGAAATATCTTCCTACCCTGCTCTTAGAAACCGCATCATTTAAACCTCCTTCCAATCTTCTCCATGACTGTCGTAGCCTTGTACAAAGCTCACCACCCATCTCTCTCTGTCTCTGGCCCCTATTTGCAGTTGCAGAGCTGCACCCATGACCCATCTCCCAACCTTTATAGGACCAGCAGTTGGAATCTTCTGATGAGCAATTCCTTTTAGACTACAAATTCAGAAATCAAAATGAGAATAGGACGCGTTAGAAGCACGGGATTTTGATCCAATGCAGGTACCCCTTACCTTAGATCAGGATCCACTTAGACTGGAGCGAGCCGTTTGATATCAATCCAACTGCTGACATCATTGAAAGGAACAACCCAGATAACCAGATTGCAGACTTGTTTTAGCAAGGCCTAAAGGCACAGCTTAGAATAAAAAAGAGGGGGGCCTTGTAATCTGCTCTACTAAGATTTCATATATATATATATATATATATATATTTCTCGTTACTTGCAAGATTCCGTTGGCATTTTAAATGCTAAGTGATATTATAACATCAATCTTGATATGGGAATGTGCATTTTATAATAATATGGGCATTATAGTAACCTGATTAATGCATGCGTAGGCAGGTGAAGTATTCAATGTGATTGAAAGTTCAATGGTTCTTTCTTTGATAATAGGGTCTCAGAGGAAGCGAGACATAAAATATGAGGAAAGAACTGAAATGGGTAATAATTAAAAAGAATGGGGCTACATCCCAGGCATTTACTCGGGGTCGGGGAGAGGTAAGGGATTGGCTTGTTTATTGTATTTTCCCCAGAAAGGATTCAAGTTAACCAGATGGGAGGAATGCAATGTACGAATTAAGAAGGCTCTTCTTTTAAGGGTTTCTTCTTCTTTTTTATTTTTTTTTTCTGCATTTGTTTCTCATCATTTATCCCACTATCCCATGGCTACCTAGGCTAAGAAGAAGGTTTCTGTCACACCACAACACTGAGTATATATTATTTGCAATGTGTTAGCTCAGTAATTTCACTCCCTGAGAGTCTGAGACCCGAGTTGTTTGGGTGGCAGCAGGTTCACTGAAATCGAAATGAACGGGTTTATTAATAACCCACATCCACATCCACATCCACATCCACAGGGAGTAGGGACCACCATCCCTCCATATTGGCTTTGACCACATAAGATAAAAGTGTTGGTGTTGCCAAATGCCAATTCAGAGTTTCACTCAAATAAGCAATCTTTATATTGCTAGTTGCTACATGTTCAATGTTCAAATGAGACTTTGTTTATTTCTGATCGCTAGCTATATCTAGTACTCTGGTTTCCACGTACATCCAGCTCTATATCTATATGGTATTACTTAGTACACAATACAATACAGGAACAGGAGAACTGGAGGGGAGGGTGTGGAGAGTGGAGACAGAACAGAGTGCACGTGAGGTCCACCGACCTTAACAAAGAACCTGTAGGGTGTAGAGGTTTGATGCCCCCATATATGCCTTCCCTACTTAAAGCTTCTTTGTATTCTTCTATTGTTCAGCATCTTGGAGGCTGTAAAACGGGGCTTAAAAGCTTGAAGCTGAAGATCGATATTTCTGCCTTTTTGTGCCATGTCGGCATGTAGCAGCGATTACTGTAACTGCAACTTGCCATGTTTTATGTTTTAAGGGGGGGGGGGGGGGGGGGGGAGAGAGAGAGAGAGAGAAGTATAGAAGGTGTGTAGCGAACAAGCGGAGGTCTTTTAGGCGCATTCCCAGAGGACTTGCCCGTCTCACAAATCAATCCTAATCCCCCATTTTGGAGATGCAGGAACTTTTGCTTTATTTATTTATTGATATGGGGGGTTACAATGTACAAAACAGGGTAGACCGTCTCATAAGCCCCCCCAGCCCCAACTCTGATGAGAGTGGAATTTGATCCCATGTCTCCTCTACAACCAGCCATAGACCTTATCAAATGAATCGGTTGGAACCATCGTTTTTTGTTATATAATGTTGATATTTACCTTGCTTCACGTTCAGGTCACAAAAGTTAAATTAGAATATTTTAATAATATAATGTCAATATTTATAAATAATGGTTATCTAAATATGATTAATCATTGAGTTAAGGCATTTCAAGGAAGTGAAATAAAGAAAATTTAAAATCTTAATGTCTTTTTCATTTTTTCATCCTTTAATCAGTACTAGTAAGTATGTACGTGATTTGCATGTAGTGGTTCTAGATGATGATAATGATAGTAATAATGTATGTAAAATTTTCTATAAAATTCATATATATATATATTATATTTTTTGTTTTTATTACTAAGTGAATGCAAATTGCAAAGTTTGAATCCGATCACGTAAATACCTCATATTGGGCTGCAAAGTTTTGGGTATCATTAATAGACTTGCCAGCTTGGCTGGACTTTTCTTTTTGTAATATTTTATCTTCTTAGTGTTTTTTTTTTGTTTATTTATCAAAAAAAATGTAAGATTTAAAGAGAGGGTATTCAATGAAGTGAAAAGTAATAGTTCAAAATATATTTTAAACCTCACAACTAAATAGAGATTAAATTCAAAAAAGGATATTTTAGTCAAAAGGAAGTTTTACAATCTTGTGTATTTTTAATAGTAGTGCAAATATAAAATTATAGATGTGTTCAATTTTTTCTATAATTATTTTTTGTTTCTACATGTGTAAAAATAATTCTGTTATGTACACTTATTTTTTGTTTAATATGATAAATATATGATATTATACATGTGCCCAATGTTTTTTTGTAAAGTTTATGTATTTTTTTTTTCAAATTTATGTTTTTATATTTTATTAATTTTTATTATTTAATTATGACATTAAAGGTTGACACATTTGACCCATAAGTTGAACTATTGATCTCTGCCAAATCAAAAAATAATTTCATTTTGGTTAGTTTTAGATTATGTATTTCATTTTCATCATCATTAAAAATAATTATTGTTTATTACACTTTTTCAATTTGATTAATAAAAACATAATAAATGTGGCTAATTTTTTTATACATTTTTACAATATTTTATATTTATTTATATTTAACAATTTATTATTTGACTATAATTTCATGGATTGACTAATTTGACACTAATGGTTGAATTGCTTAGCCATCACTTGGATGAAGAATGATTTTGTTTTTGAGTAAGTTTTAAAATATATGGGTTTATATTGTTAAAATTATTGGGCATAGTCGCATAGATCTAATTAGTAACATTCATTAGCGAAAAAATAACTTAATTATAGGATTTAATAAGAGAGAATGAGAGTTAATACTTTAAATATAAGACTTAATGAGAGGGGATTAAATGAGATTAAAAGCATTAATTGAAATTACATTTTCAACCTCATAATTAGGGATTGACTAAATACACAATGGGCAGTTTAGTCAAGAAAAGTTTCACACCCTCATTCGTACTTTTTATAATAGTATAGATATAGATTTATACAACAGCATGCTATGTGCCCTTATGCTGGTTAGATTAAGGGTGTTAAAGGACCGGTTTTGGACTGGACCCCATCCAAACCAAAATCAATTTGGATGGATTGGATGGACCAACAAGACATTGAATTGGACCAGTCCAGATTTAATGGTTCAAAGTATTTATTAGATTGGATTGAACCTGCTCCATCCGTAATGAATTTATATTGGATTGGGTTGGATTGAGCCAATATGTGGTCCATGGATAGAAGATAAGAGTATAGGTGTCAGCGGACCAGGTTTGAGTTAAAACCAATCTAAATTAAAACCAATTTGAACAGATTGGATGGTCCAAATTGATCCAAAATATTCATTGGATTGGAATGGATCTGATCCATTTGTAATGGACTCACACTGGACTTGATCGGATTGGACCAAATCCAATCCAATTGATATCCAGGTTGGATTAAGCATGGTGCATGGATCCACCTAAGATTGACCTTTTTTGCCCAGTCTCACATTGCCCGACCTGTCCCATCCCCAAAATTGCTGGGCTTGGGCAGACATTTTGTTTTTCTAGGGCGGGCCCAATCTGGACCTGCATTAAGCCTGCCCATAATAGGGGCTGGGCCTGGTCAAAACAAATCCCAGGCCCGACCCATGATCATCCCTAGATACCTTAGACATATATTGTTTAAATATTTATTAAATTCATATTATGTATATTAGCAAGGTTGGCTTGAATGTTAAAGAGTCACAGGAAGTTATTTCAATTCACATGAATCCAATTCACTGAACATCATCTACAAGATTTGATTTGAATCTAAATATACATGAAACAAATTTGAATTTGGGTAATATCCAATTCAATCCATCCGTTTGCAGCCATATAAGTGAGAGCCACTGATCTTTTAACATCTTCAATGTCCATCAAACTAAGTATCATTAACATTGTCATTTAAATTTTTGACAGAAGTGTTAATATGAACGCTTTTCCTTGTTGTATTCAACATCTTCCCAGCTACTTCTATAACAGCTTTTGGACATCTAACTGATTTTTCCATTCACTATTGTTTAGAAATGAAGTGATGATTATTTGTTTTTGTACTTTTTAGAAACACTTTTCTTTCTTCCCTTTATTTTTACTTTCATTTAGGAGCCAATTGGTAAATGTTTTTAGGAAGATCTTTCGGCAGATAGACAAAAGATGTAATGAGTTTTTGGGGTTTTGTTTTTAAAGATTTAGACCGTTTGGCAAGTATCCCAGTCTACCATGATCTACAGAACTGTTAAATGAAAGATTTTAGGTGCAGAAAGATAAGAAGCTTCATTTGAGCTTTTTAGAATATAGGCCTTTTCAGTTTCCCACCTATCATTGCCAAATGGAGAAATACCAAATTTTGGTCTTTCAAACTTTGAAAAGCCTGAAAGACCACAAAAAGACTTGCCAAATACCCCCTTAGTTAATCATTTATCTAATTGGATTTCCAACTTGATGTAGCGCGATCTGGTCACTCCTAGATGGCACTCACGTGGCTCTTGAGAGGTACCTGAAACGAGGAGGAAGAAGAAGAATCCCCGAGGGGCTTGCTTGGCGGGAACACTCCGACGATTAAGTCAATATTCTGTGTGAGAAGCAAAGGGAAGACGATGGCTAAGAGTGCAAATTGCGCTAGTGGTTCGAAGATACCTTGTTCCTTGAGAATAAGCCCCTTATAACAGAATTCCGTCGCATTAGGCCCTCTGACTTCTGACAGGGCAGGTATAACCGCCACTGTCAGTCTACCACAGCCGTTACAGGCATGGCTGAGGTGGCACGTGCGGGGCCGTCGTCGTAGGGTACGTGCCTGTCAGGTGTAAGACACTTTCTAAAGGTGGCTGCCGCGACGATGTCTGACGGGGGACCTGGTTGCTGTCCCCAGATTTGTCGGGTACGGTGGTCGGGCAGGAGATCTTTCGGCGGTACGCTGAACTACCCTTTTGCGAGTT